TCAAGTATTTGTACACCATCATAGATTTCACACACTTAGTACCATCCTTTGAGAAAACCCAAGAATTGGAATTGAAAGCCTTACCTAATCACCTCAAGTATGTTTACATAGTTGAGCCATCAGCCTTTCTTGTGATCAACCCTACGGACTTGAGTGATATACAGTAGGAAAATTTACTGAGGGTTCTTATGACATATATAAAAGACTTTGGGTAAACCATAGCTGACATAAAAGGCATATGCCCATCCCTATGCAGACAAAAAATCTTGTTGGAAGAGGGACATGGGCCTAAAGCTGACCCCAGAGGAGACTGAACCCTATCATGAAAAAAATGGTAAAGAAGGAGATCTTGAAGTGGTTTGATACAAGCATAATTTACCCCATATTAGATAGTATATGGGTGGTTCTGATTCATTGTGTACCCAAGAAAGGGGGAGTATTAGTAGTGGAAAATAAAAAAGATAAGCTGATACCCACTAGGGTTGTCACGGGATGGAGGATTTGCATTGGCTATAGAAAACTGAAAATGATCACTAGAAAAGATCATTTTCCCCTACCATTTTTGGACCTAATGTTAGAGGCTACTCTTTTTATTGCTTCTTAGATGGCTATTCAGGATACCACCAGATCTGCAACGCCCTTGAAAAATAGGACAAAACCACCTTTAACAACCCCTATGGTATTTTTATATCCTGAAATGAGAATTGAAATTTAGGTATCAATCTTAGAAAGAGAGTCGGAATTTAGGTACCAACCTCGAAAGGAGAGAATCAAAATTTAGGTATTGACCCCGAAAAAAGAATTGAAATTTATGTATCAATCTCAGAAAGAGAGTCAGAATTTAAGTACTGACCTCGAAAGGAAGGAATCATAGTTTAGGTACTGATCCCGAAATGAGAATTGAAATTTAGGTATCAATCCCAGAAAGAGAATCAAAATTTATGTACCGACATCGTAAGGAGTGAAACCCTAACTTTATGATTTTTTTATCCTTGTACAATGGGCGAGTTCTACCATTGATGGCTTGATCTTACATTTTGTCAAAGAGAAATCACTAGATGTGATCTTAATCTGTCATCCCCTCTTAAAGGGTGGAGAAACAAAACTTCCTCTTCTAGTCTTAAGTCATATTCTCAAGACCTAAACAATTTTACTCTAGTCCCAAAGAATTGTATGAACAGATCCTTGTACACTCTAATGGTGAAGAGCCCTCTAAATAGGTCAATCAACCAAGGCAACTCCAACCTCCACATGAACAAAATCAACATCACAATCCAAGTGAAAGAGTTCAGCATGCTACAGGTCGCGACGACAAAGTAGAATCTCAGAATGTCAACTAGCTCCTGACAGAGCAGAATCGTAACCCTAGCCCAAATTCATCACGATAGAGCATAAGGTCATTGTCATAAAGTGCGTTAACCATCTATTCCTTTTTCACCACCCTCATGTGAATAGAAGAGTCAAAGAAATAGTTGCACTGAGCAGATACAATGTCCTCAACAATCACCATTGACTTGCCAAAGATCTTAGCCTCCACGAACGTCATTTACCCTACACGGAGAACAACATACATAATAAAAGCAGAAGAATTTTTTTTTTTTTTACAAATGACGAACATAATAAAAAAAGATTATTGCAGAAATCCCTTGTATAGTTCAATGAACTAAAATAAAAGATCAAATTCAAAAATTCAAAAATTACATTTAATAAAGCAATCAAAGCAGAATATCCAAATCATTATTTCAGTTGAATATTGTTCATTACAGACTGCTTGATCCGAACAAAGCACACAAACATAAGCTGGCAAGATATACAAGACACTAAGGAGAAAAAAAAGGAATTTCTCATGAATCTAAAATGACTTTCACCAGAACACTTCCAGACCAAATAAGTTGCTTTAGCTAAAACTCTCCACCAGCTTTGAACTGAGCCAAGCAAACCAAACGACGTAATACAAGGCATCTATCCTTCAAATCAGACAACGCATTACAAAACCAACTGAAGCATGAGTTCGATCGAATCTATGACCAGAGACACTTTGGGAATTTCCCATGGCAGAACCTCTGCACCTGGTCTTAAAGGGGAGGTTCAGCTGCTGCGCAATCCTCTTGCCAATTATTCTTTTCACTAAAAGTATTCCAACTATTCAATTGTAAAAATTGTTTTTATAAAAAAAAATTATATCAATTTTGATTAGAGATAAAAATTCAGTGCAATAAGATAGTACTAATACAATTTAAAAACATTTTACATACAAAATATAATTTAACATTAAATATCTTTACCACCTTATGTTATTTTATCAGGTGTTGAAGGCCAAATTTCCTTCCTGTACAAAGGACACCATTTTACAGATTCAAGTAAATAAATCATAATTTATAGTAAGATAGACGTGTGCCTCTATGAAAGGTTCAGACATTCTAACAAAAGCTTAGTAAAGAAACAAACGATACTTAGAGACAAAAGCAAATAATCCTGTTGAATTTTTAGGGTCAGAGATTAAACAAAACTGCAAGTCTAATATATATATATTATTTTATTTATTTGCTCGCGGCAGTTACTACGGAAATTTTACTATCCAAAAAAGTTTTAAAAAAAATCTAAACCAAAATAAGCATCTTAATGTTACAAAAGAAGACCTATTAAAAAACAAAATATTAGATGCGGATAGATAGATGCAGATAGATGCGAATTTGGTGATATTATGATGTTATTCAGTACAGTACCAACACAATATCATCAATCCACATGTGCAAATTTCGCACATAATATTCGGTCCTACTAAAGAAATGCAACTTCACAAATAGAATGAAAGATCATAGATGACATACAAATAAATGAAAGATGCAAAACTTTTCTACAAGAAGGTTTGTTCTATAACAATATCCTGCATCTTTCAAAACTAGAAAATTGAGAAAAAACAGAGTGCATGTAATAAATTGAGAAAACATAGAGTGCATGTAAAAAATAATAAATAAAAGCATAAAATTTGATAAGAGCACAAACGGCATTCCAATCAGTTGAGAGCAATGGAGCAACATCATAACTTTTTTTTCTTTTAACCAGCAACAATGGGAAAATTTTGCTTCGAGAGCATGAGTTCGTCAACAAATAGGTTCTATCACTTCCTGCAAAAACTAACTGAGTGACCACATCATTTTATAGTCAATGAGATATACACTATATAATCACCCTCCACAACCAAAAATTATACAGAGCAATAACATACACCAATGGAGTACATTATCACAAGTGAATTTTCTAATATATGAATGGAAGCATGATACAAAAGCAGCTTCTCAGCTTGTACTGTAATGTCCTCTTAGAGAGAGAGAGAGAGAGAGAGTTAAAAAGGACAAATAAAAGAATGCTCGTGCCTTGGGTTTTTTAAAAGGGACAAATAAAAGAATGCTCGTGCCTTGGGTTTTCGTATAATCAACCACACAGGTAGAACAGCATGTACATTACCAGGTATTTGAATGGCTTTAGTTGTGATCTGCTTTGTGTCTCTTTGTTGCTTGCTCCGATTCGTCAATTTTGTTCCCTAACCTAGCAGAGCTCATTGCAATGTTGTTGGATAAAGGTTCATCCTGTTCCTGAAAGACGATCGAGCATTCGACAAAATATGAGGAAGTCTATTTTGCAAGGTCATCTTTGTAATTCAGTAGGATAGGCTGGTAAAAAATAACAATATGTATTGACGTAGCATTTAGTGATGACTAGTATAAAAACCTAAGCACCACCATGCCAAAACAAAAGCTGTGGTTCTACAAAATTGATACATTCATAAACATGAAGGTAAAGAGTATTGAACATCTATTTATTGCACAACCCAAAGTAAAAAAATTGATGTTTTTAAATAATATCAGGAGTTGAGCTTCTCCATAGTGTAGGTATAAGGAGATAATAATTAGTTCGGTTTTATCTTTGTACGCTGATTTCAAAAAATGTATGACATGCACCCCATCAACGATAGTTTCACAGCTACAACAGGGACAGAAAGTGTGCAGCAAGTCACCCCTTTTTATAGTGCGAACACCTTTTTGACATACCATGGAGCATTATCTTACCAATTAATAGCGTTAAGCTTGATGATGGGCTAAGCTTTAAAAAGTCTAAACTTAGAATTTTAAAGTAATTAGATTATCAAGCAATATTATAACTAAACATCGGGAGAACTAATTCCTGGCATAAATCAAACTTCGGTTTTCCCCCAAGCTTAAGTTGGACATAAAGTTCACCAAGAAATGAAGCTGTATTGAAGTACTTTAATCTATAAATCAAACAGTATTTAAGAATAAAATAGTATGCAAATAATAATAATTGTGGTCCACCATTGCACCATCGCCTCATGTTGCCACAGGCAACTGCCTATCCCCCTTCAGCTTCCTCATGGCCACTCATCATATTTCAATACGTTTTAAAATATATCACAACAAACACACAGAAGTTCAATGCAGTTGACTTTTTTACAACTAAAAACCTAATGCATTTCTAAAAAACAGACATTACAATTACTCTACACTATACTTTTAGAACATCCAACCAAATAACACCTAAATTATACAATGACATAAATTCTTACAATACCACTATGAAGTATATATAATGCAAGAAATTGCGGCACTTGGAGCATGCATTTAATGCTTTAAATCCACATTAGGTCCTATTTAAATAACAAAGATATAAAAGGTTTATCTTCTCTTATTTTATCAAAATTTTAATGATTAAAATAATTTTAATAGTTTGACATGTTTTAAAAAGAAAACATAAGGCATGTCATGCAGCCTGAGGTGTCACTCCACAGAATTTGTACTATGGTGCGACCATCTTTATTAGTAAATATGCTCCATATAAAAGTATTTTACCTAAAGTTGATGCATGTGACTGAAAGAGCTTCTTGATTCTGGTTAATGAATAATAATTTTATTGCTGAAATTAAAAAGGGTTTACAAAATAGACACTTGAAAAGAGGAAAACAACGACACACACAAAACTATGTCGTAGATCGGCAAGGTGGTGCTGCAGTTTGAAGGGGAGCAAAGGTTATGGAGAGCTGTACGAGGGGAGAACAGCAACCTGGTGATTGATTGTGGCTTGAGTGGTGGATGGAGGGCCGGCTGCAGGGCAAAAGTACGGAAAGGGGGAAGGGAATTGCCACTGTCTGCAGGAGAGCTGGTTGGGATTGGTGACAGTAGGCAGAAGGGAGGGGTTAACAGCAAGCTACAAATGTTGGTTGGAGCTGGCGGCAACAGGCAGTAGAGGAAAAGGGGGATCACGACAGGTGGTAGATAGGGTGGGTTGGGACTGGTGACAGCAGTGAGGTATTTGAGGGAGTAGCGAGTACAGCAGCATGATTCCCTTGGTCCGCACCCGGGAATTAGGAAGGAGGGAAGGTGTGCAGGTTGGAGGGCAGCGAACAGATGAGAGAAATAAAGAAGGATGGACATCATCTTAGGATGAGTTGCATCCGGAGCACCTTCTCGCCTTCAGTTACAACCCTATAAGGAAGGGGGGACTTTTCAACAAAAACTAAAGTGTAACACAGAAAACAACATCTTTATAATAAATGATAACTAGAAGGAGAAACTCCTCCCCTTAGGCGACAATCCCAACCCTAAGCAAGGTCGGGTTCAGTTCAGCCTCCTTGCCGAACCAATTTGGCATGTTCAAGCCCTCAGCTCCCGTGTTAGTTTCCCGAGGTTGGGGGAGCTTCGAAGTCATTCATCAAAGCTTTAGGCTCCTCGTAGCACTGTTTCAAGTTCGCTATATTGGACACAGCAAAAGCAATGTAGTCTCCATGGATTATTGGGCATTCTACTACGGTTTGAGCAGCACCTAGATGCAAGCACCCGAGTATTTTTTTCCACTTGGAGCAAATATCCATATCGGTTCAATCTTTTGAGAGCTCACTACTTATATGAATTGGATTTGTGTGTCACACCTATACTTTTGAATCCTCCTAAAATAGCCCAAGTTTGGCTAAAGTCGAGTAACCCGGACCTCCCCAACTAGTGGTGGCCATGGTGGTAAGGTATCAATCGTAACATACTGAGATGCTTTCCGTCATGACTGTCACAAGTATGGAATTGGTGTATCAGTCCTATCATTCTTTGTCATCACAAAAACTGCTCACGCTGATGCTATGCTGGTGGGAAAGACACCTGTGATCTCTGGCTCCGCAAAAAGGAGAAAGACAATACACTTCCCTTCGTTGGTGAAAGAGTAGGCGTGTTTATGAATCCGTCGTGCTAATTCCTGAGGTCAAAATGTCATGGTCTCCCCAACAAAACGTGACAAGTATCCATGAGTACCACTTCACATCACAGCTGATCCTGCAACTGACTACCAATCGAAAACTCTACTAGACACCTCCGGTCAATACCAACTCCGTTTTCTTTTTTCAGCCATGTCAGAGAATACGGCTGGAACTGCCTCTCTAAGTCATGAATCCCAATTTCTTCACTATCTACGTAGACGTCATGTTCTTGCTCCTCTATCAATGATGAGACTACATATCTTCCTGTTCACAGTGCAATGAGTGTAAAATATACTATGACAAAGCCATTGTAAATACCCTGTATCCTCAATCAAAATGACCCATTGAACCACGAGTATCTTGCCCTCATCCGATGGAAAATGATACACCTCGCTCTATTCTTTCGCTGCCTCGTCGTTGCTAACCTCACGGTGCCCTGCTGGGTAGCAGACACAACTCGGTTCATTGGGCAACTAGAGGCGATGTGCCCAAATCAATGGCAGTTGAAGCATTTTCTGGCGGGGACTATGGTAGGCATGCTACTCTTCTCAAGCTTCTTCTCAATCGGGATGGTTCGGTCCTTATCCAAACAAATTTTCTCAACTCCCTCAAATGGGATCCTACCAATGTCTCTCACTACAGATGGTTGCCTGATTGGTGGTGGTTGTTTGATCAGTTTTTGCTGTCTCTCCACCTTCAAGACTAAGTTTTGGACATCTACCGGTGTCCAAAGAGTTGCAACTATACGACATTGCTGATAGCGGGTTTCAAACCACCCAGATATCGGGCCATAAAATGTTCCTCTGGTTCGACCAACTCACACTACATCTGCAACTGATCAAATTGTGTTGTGAATTCCACTGATCGCTCTCTTGTAGGTGGAGTTTCAGAAACATATCCTATCGGTAATAAGGTAGATAATTTTTGTGCGTTGTCTTCCTCATCTTCTCACACTTAGTAATATTATCAATCTTCTCCCTTTACCTCTGCAAGTCTTCCATCATAAAGAGGCACTCTTTCTAAATTTTATTGTCGCTAGTTTTACCTTTTAATCTTTTACAAATTTTTGTACTCGAAGATTATCTCAACTGATTGCAGTTATTCGATGAAGTCTTCAGGATCAATAACTCCAAACTCCGGTAGATCCACCTTTATTCGAAAGCCCCTGGGTACTCCATGTGTGGCCTCCTCTCTCAAGCTTCTTTGATACTAGATTCCAAAGTTTCGTGGTCTGTCTTCTTCATTACTGAAATCCTCCTTATGGAAGGGGCTATTTCACCCCTTCGACTTTCCGTCATGATCGAGGGTGATTTCCACCTGTGTTTCAACCTCAAGTCGGTAAGCCTCCGTTGAGGTCGACGGATCACTCATTGTATCTCTTCACGAGTGGCCTCAGGCATGTGTCACTTTAATGGCATGGTTATGGTTTAAAGTTGGGGGAGATGAAAGAGGGTGTAAGAATTAATTTAAGGTTGCTAGTTTTGAAAATCAGCAAAGAGAAATTAGGGTCATTAGGTCAAAATTTGTCTATGGTTAGGGAATAGGAAATAATTTTTTTTATGGAGGTGACCTAGGTAGAGGCAAATGCTAAAAAAAACCCTTGGATAAGACTAAGGTTACGCTAGCACTAATACCAATTGATACTGAAATTAACCCAAAATTCCAACATAATAGTACTTTGTTTGCTGAAGAAACTTGAAAATAGAAAAACGACACACAAAACTAGGGCGTGGGTCGATGAGTTGATGTTGCGGGTTGAGGGGAAGCAAAGGTTACAGAGGGTTATGTGAGGGGAGAGCAACAACCTGATGACTAGTTGGCGGTCTTGAGTGGTAGATGGAGGGAGGGTCGGCTGCTAGAAGCGGTAGGGAAAGAAGGGAATTACAATTTTTTACAGGATTACTAGTTGGGATTGGAGACGTTAGGCAGGAGGGAGGGGTTAACGGAAGGTTACAAAGGTTGGCTGGAGCTGCTGGCAACATGTAGTAAGGAAAGAGGGATTACGGCAATCTGCAAATAATGTGGGTTGGGATTGGCAGCAGCAGTAGGTGTTTGAGGGAGTTACAGCTACAGCAGGGTGATTCCATTAACTGGCGGCCGGGAATCAGGGAAGAGGGACGGTGCGCGAGTTGATGGGAAGCTAACAGATGATGGAAATAAGGAAGGATACAACATCACCTAGGGACGAGTTACAGCCGGAGCACCTTCTCGCATTCGGATACAGCCGTAGAAGGCAAAAAGAGGACAGTGGAGGCTGTTTGAACAGAAAATTCAACAAAAAAACTAAACCCTAACACTAAAAACAACATATTTATAATAAAGGATAACTATGAGGGGGAACCCGTCGCCTTGGGCGGTAGCCCCAACCCTAAGCGGGGTCGGGTCCGGTTCAGTTCAGCCTCGCTGCAGAACTAGTTTGGCCGGTTCGGCCAGTTCAGGCCCCCAGCTCCCGCATCACTTCTTGGAAACATGTTAGTATTTTATAAAAGGCATGCCATTATAATGGCCTTTGCTCTCTTTTCTTGTATTTCACTACATTCACCAACATATTTACTTCAACTAGATGAAGAAGGACCATGGAACAACTCTGAATAATACCACAGCTCAGTTGTATGATAGTAAATTAAGGCACGTTGGTTGAAATGACAAGCGGAAACTGTTTTCTTGAAAAGTGAGGACTCCAAAGAATAAGATATTACAAATAAAAAAAAAGAGAGCCTAAGAAGAACATATTACAGATAAAAAAACAGACAGTGTTCACCCATCATTTTCTATTCACAAAAAAAAAGGTGAAGGAAAGAACAGGCCTCGTGCAACTCATTCAAATTCTAAGAACAGACCACGAAGTAACTTTCTCGTGAGAATATCACTTACTATAAAATCCGATGAAACATGGAAATCAGCCAAAAGAAACGAAAAGAAAAAAAAAGGTGGGGAAAGAAAATTTATGCTCCTTACTGTAGGGAGTTAATCATAAACTATATTAAAAAAAATGACAGGAGCATATGCATATACCTTTGGAGTAGCCATGCTGGAAGCATTACGTCTGCTAACGCTTGCTCTCCTCCCCAAATTGATATGCACAGAAATGCTAGCTTGTGAAAGATCTACGCCTGAATTCTGCAGTGCTTGGCTAAGACTATTCAACAGGCTGCACCACATTGAACAAACCATAAGAATGTACAATAATGTTTTAGGATTAACATATAATGACAATAATGCTTGGCAAAAAATATTCAATAGACTGCACCACATTGAACAAACCATAAGAATGTACAATAATGTTTTAAGATTTAACATATAACGACAAGCATCGCAAAAAAGTTGCATAGCACAGCATTGTGCAGTATTAACCACGGTCTAAATTCAAAGATATGTCCAAATAGATCGGTAATCATAAAAAAAGCAATTCATAGAACACAGTATCATGTTTAAAAACTTACAATAAAATGAAATAAATTAGATCTAATTAATCTATTAAAGATTGAACCCACAAACAACTAAGTGGGTGTTACTAATGAGAGAAAAAGCTGCTTTAAAGAGAGATTTGAGAAGCAAACAATTAACATGTGCATTTTTTTTTCCAAGGCACTAAGAAACAATAAGAATAAACCAAATTATCAGCACATACCCCTGAGAATATTCAGAAGAGACAGTAATTGTGCCCTCATCGATTATCAACTCCTGTTCATTTATTTCATCGTTGCTGGCAGTACAACCAGTATGGAATGAGGATCTCAACCACTCAGACTGGGATCCTGTGATAGCTGTTTCAGGAATTAACCTTTGCTGTGGCTGGACGACAACCCCCATCCCTCTTCCTACAGAGGGGTACAAGTTTGGATGCAAAGAAGCTGGGGAAGTTGCAACCTTACTGGAAAAACCATTAGGGTTTTCCAATTCTTTGTAAGAAACACCAGCAATCAATTCAGATTCTGTTGGATTTTGAGCAGATGAAAGAATAGATGGGGCAACTGGAATGCTACTATCAGACACCATTAATCCAGAAGAAGTACCATTCTTCAATACTTGAGGATCAACCATGCCATCGCCAGAGCCATGGTTATTGTTCTGTTACAAAGAAATATTGGTATTAAATTAGGTTGAATAAAAAAAGAAGCCATTCATCACAACTGAGAAACTTTCTCATACATGCATTAAAATGCCTAACTAGTTTAAATTCCCACTAAGAAACTTTAATGACATATACCCGTGCATTTTTCCAGAATGACCTAAAATAGACCTTTACCTGCCAAAAAAATAAAAAGGAAAATCAATAAAAACCTTTTAAACAAAAATGCCCAAGCTATTTAGTGCTGGTTGGCACTAGCAGAAAAGGTCAGTTTCCCATTCTATTTTAAATAACCCATAAACATATGTGTGTAGACCCATAGGGAAAACAGAACATGAACACAGATTAAAGATCATAAGGTAGATTTAAAAAATAAGAGGTTCAAAGAAAAAAGCAAAAAACAGAAAAGAAAGCAATAAAAATAGGATAAAGAGAAAGCATGGTCCAATTTTCCAAAGATTCATCCCTTAATATGGCAACAATAATAAAACCGACCACCAGGTCCAAATGGAAAATTATTAATAATTCAGAAAAAATGAATGAGAGAAAGTTCAATCAAAATAGATGGGGACAAATGAGAGTACCTAGTACATGAAGCTCTGTCCACATGTGGAGTAAGGAAGATGTATGCAACTTTACCCCAGATCTTAGGTTAGGCTAATTCCATAATCTGAACACATAAACTAACTCCATATCACATAGGGAAATCTAATCATGGAATTTATGCATACTCTCCAGAAAGAAAATGGACTCAGGAAAAGCCTAATTGCATGCTAATGAAAAATGTCATGTGTGGGCTTAGGTGATACACCATAACCTGAAGGTCAAGGGGTTTATTCACAAAGACCAATTCTGCCAGAATGCATTGACCACCCCAACACCACATAGTTGGCAAAAATCCGATGCAACAAACAGATGACATCTTTCTTAAAGAACAATGAAAACAAATGTAGCAGGAATAGCATGTGCTAACGAAAAATAGTACTGAATTCTAAACAAAAAAGGTTTCATTGTGAATGAGATAAGAAAAAACTAAATCAAAACACAGAAAAAAAATCAGAACAAAGGGTATGCATAGAGTCATGGTTATGCTTCCTCAATTATTAGTTGGTGGTCATGGCTTCGAAATGAAGAAATGACCATTCGATAGTTCAGGGTTAAGGTAAACCCACATGAAGCATGGAATTGGGGCCTCATGTGCGAGGAATGCCTTCCTTTTGTCAAATTCATCAACCTCATAAAGTACAGTACAAAGAATTGATTTCAAATGAGCTAGATCAAGTAAAACCTAGAAGTGCTGAAAGATTTTAGAAAAAACAGCAAAAAACTTTTAGATCACGACTAAAATATTTCAACTCATTCATAGCTTTCCCTTTAGTAAATCAGTTTATTTGGCTAGAGGAAAACAGAGCCATGGTAGAAAAACACGCAGGAAAACAAAAACAACGGCAAGATTTGAATATTAACAGACAAAGTATGTTCCTTGCATAAAAAAATAAAATAAAATTAAAAAAAAAGAAAACTAACAAGCCCATTTGTTTGATTAAGTTTTTTTGTGAAGTAGGCAACTATCTTTGGGAAACTTTAATTTAGGAATGTAAAAAATCCCTTGATATGATGATCCAATTTAGGAATAGAATAAGTCCTTTGATATGGTGATCCAATTTAGGAATAGAATAAATCCCTTGATATGGGGTTCTAATTTAGGAGGAGAATATTTTAATTTTATTACATCATTTTCTCCTAGTTTCTATATATATTCATTGTACTTAATGAAAGATGGATCCGAATTTCATTGCACGTTATTGTCATTGTATCATAGACATAGGTTTTCACGCCTCTGAGATCTTTCCAAACCTTCACGACCAACTTATTTTTTGTCTTAGTTGTCCGCATTATTTTTCGTTTTTCTTCGTATTGTGACAGCCGATGCAGCAGTCACTTTTTTATTAATATGCAATTCTAAGATTGTTGAAACAAACAGCACTAATCAATCTGATGAAGGAGAAACCAAAAACTCATCTTCTTCCTGGTGAACTGTGAAACAAACACAACTCTTATAGGCTCAACCATACTTAAAATGATCTCAGCTAGTCCGTACTTATCTAAAGGCAAAAGAAAAATTCGACATCTTCTAGGCACAATACCGAAATAAAACTATCAGACTTTTGATACATAGGAAGAAGATAACTCCATGATTATGTCTTGGTGTTGGAGTTCAAATTTGCCAAAAATTAGTTATACTTGTATGGTTCTCACCTCTGCAAAGGTACTCGAAGGCTAAAGATGTCACATGTGTGTATGCAATCAAAGTAAATAGTTGTTGCAAAACAAGCAAAAAATGGTAACAGAATATGCAAATATGTTGCAAAATGTGTGCCAAGAACTCTTGATCATTATAGGGTTCTTGAGACGAAGTGCCCTAAGGATGTCATGAACTTGAAGAATCTTATTTAGAAAAATCAAGTTTATGATTTTTTTGGTTGATCTAATAGTAGAATTTGATCAAATTCGGATTTAAATTGTTAGCAAGGAAAATGTCATTTTACTTAGCAAGTTTATTGCTTTGAATCATATTGAGTAGAGTCGAAGAAGCATTATGTGAAAAATAAAGGATCTATCATTGTTGCACAACAAAGCACCAAGCAAAATAAAACCAAGGGGACATCCCGAAATGAACTTCGAGATAATCTTTGGTGCACCAACTGCAAGAAGTGGAGACATACCAAGGATACTACTGAAAGTTGCATGGGAAACCTACTACTTCAAGCTGGAGCTAGAGAGATGATAAAAAAAAAAAGCAGTAAGCTTGTTAATTCTCCACCACAAATCTACTTTACAAAATTCCATCCAAAAAACTCCTACATACACTACATCTAGCCACCTTAATCAAGCCGAGATTGAGAAGCTTCGAAGTTTATTGGAATCATTGGAGTAGCAATTTGGCTCTTGTTCACTAGCATTCTCTAATAAGTTCTTCTTATATGGATTACATGTCTTGAACCTACTTATACAAAACTCTTGGGTCATTGACTCTGGAGACATGGATTACAGGACCTTCCTCAGTTCATGTTACAATAAAATCATCTTGTTCAAGCAATAAGAAAATTGTTGATACTTATTATATTACCGCATTGGCTATTGTTGATCATATTTAATTGAATTTGTCTTTGTTCTTAAAAAATGTGCTCCATGTTTTTAAATTGTTCACTAATCTTTTGTCTATTCACAAACCAACCCGTGATATGAACCGTGATGCCTTGTTTTATCCATTTTATTGTGTATTTCAGGATTAGGATTTAGGGAAGAGAATTGAACTTGCTAAGTAAAAGGGATGCCTCTACTATCTCGATACCTTAGCCACATACTCACCTACTATCAAGCATTTTTTCAACGTCTTCTTGTTTCGTTTAAAAAAAAAAAAGTCATTTTGCGTCGGCACTTTCATTTTCATCATCCTTCAATTATTGTTTTAACTAAAATGTTCCCTTCTTTATTTAAAGATGTTAATGTTCATGATTTTTATTGTGATGTATGTAGATTTGTCTTTCCTTTTCAATTAGCAATAAAAAAAAAATCCCTTTTTATTTGATTCACATTGATATATGGGATCCCTATAGAAATCCCAATGTTATAGTAGCTCGGTGGTTTGTTTCATTCATCGATGATTGCACTCGAGTCTTGTGGATTTTCATTCTTAAAGATAAATCTTATGTGACTTCTATCATCCTAAACTTCATTGTCATGATGCATAAATTTAGTGTTCAAGTAAAAAGAATCTGATCTGACAATGTTAGGGATTATTTTAATCAAATTTCATTTGCCAGAATTTTTACAAGGGATAGTTCATAGGTCATCCTGGATAGATAATCCTCAACAAAATAGGATTGCCGAGAAGAAAATGGTTACATAATTGCCACAACCGTGCTTTACATTTCCAAAAGCATGTTCCAAAATCATACTAGGGGAAAGTTGTCCTTACTGCATCCTACATTATAAAATGTTTGCCCTCCAAAGTATCAGACAATCAAACTCCTATGTAACTCCTTTCTCAATTTTATCCTAATATTCAAACCACAAATAATCTAACTCCCTGAGTCTTTGGTCTGCTTTTGTTAATGTTTCTAACCATAAAATAGGTAAAATAGATTCTCGAGTAATCAAGTGTGTGTTGTCTGGTATTTCCAACACAAGAAGGCCATAAGAGGTATAATCCACCAATACAAAAATTTTATATCTCTATTATGTCACCTTTGAGGAAGGACAACCTTCTTTTCTATTCTAGTCTAATTGGAAAAGATAATACAGAAGACATGCTCTTTCTTAACCTACTAACAGTACAACCTTACTCTTCATATGAATCCAAATCACTTTCACAAGAGTCATCCCAATAGCCAGATTTATCCTCACAAAAATCAAATCCTGAAATAGTTGAAATAGTCCCTACCGGTGACAAGCTTGACACTAGGAGGAATGCACTGATGCATTCGAGAAAGATAAAACTGGAACATGATCTCGTGCAAGTCAAAAATTCAAACCTGATCTTGTGCAAGTCAAAAATTCAAGTCCTGAAAATGAGGTATGCATAAATCAAATTTCCTCTCCCATTCCAATTGATTATGACTTGTTGTCGTAAGAGAAGGGACAAGAAAACACACTCAACATCCAAGATATCCATTAGCCAAATCAGTAATGTTTCATAGATTCTCTCTAAATGGAACTTTGTTGTGAACTTCAAATCAAATGAGTCCTAGAGGGATACAGAGTAAAGTTGGTTGCTAAAAGCTATATACCAGCATATGGAGTTGACTATCAATAAACATCTGCACCAGTGGCTAAGATGATAACAGTATGGGTTCTCTTCTCATTGGCCTAACTTCAAATGGTATTTATAACAATTTGATGTGAAGAATGACTTCATGGAAAATGAAGATTCCACCGGACTTTAGAAAAGAGAAAAGGAAGAAGGGTTGCAAACTTAAAAAAATATTATATGGACTCAAGCAATCTCCAAGAGTTTGATTCAGCAAGTTTACCAAAGTGATGCTTAATACTGGTATAAGCCAAGTCAAGCTGATCATAGATTATTTATCAGAACACAGAGATTTAGGGAGAGTTACTGATCTTCTAGTGCATGCTGATGACATAATTGTTACTAGGAACAATAAGAAAGAAAAGGAAGCCTTTAAAATTTTCTTGGCAAATAAATTTGAAATCAGAGAGTTGGAAGCTTGAATTAGTTTCTTGCGATAGAAGTAGCTCAATCTCAGTAAGGTATCTTCATTTCCCAAAAGAAGTATATGGTAGGCCTCTTGAAAGAAATGGATAAATTAGCGTGTAAACCTGCTTCCAACTCCGACTAATCCCAATCACAAACTTGGAGAAGCAAATAATAACAAAATTATTGATAAAGAAGGGTGTCAGAAATTCGTTGGAAATTTAATATATTTTGGCGCACACTCTACCTAATATTGCCTATGCTGTAAGGGTAGTAAGTTAGTTCATGCACAACCCTAAAGAAAGTCACCTACAAGTTGTAGACCGGATACTTCGTTACTTGAAAGCTAATCTAGGAAAAAAGAATTTTAATCAAGAAAGATGAGAGGCTAATTCTTAAAGCTTACACAAATGCAGATTATGCAAAATCTTTAGTTGATAGATATTCCACAAGTTATTGCATGTTCTCTAGTGTTAATCTGGCCATGAAGAAAAAGAAAACAAAAATGTAGTATCTCGATCAAGTGCAGAAGTGAAGTTCAGAGCTGCAGCTCAAGGTGTGTGTGAGCCACTGTGGTTGAAGATCATCCATAAAAATCTCAAGATAGAATGTGAAAAACCAATGAGACAATCATGTGACAAGTTCTCCATCAATAGTATACATAATCCGGTACAACGTGATAAAACAAAACTTATCTAGATTGATAGGCACTTTATAAAGAAGAATTTAGACAATAAATTGATTTGTGCTCCTTACATGCCTCCAAAAGAACAACTTGCGGATGTGTTTACAAAGGGACTTCATGTTAATGACTTTTGATATCTATTCACCAACTTAAGGGGAAGTGTTGCAAAGCGGACTTATTTTAGAAAAATTTTAATTTAGGAATATAATAAATCTCTTGATATGAAGATCCAATTTAGGAATAGAGTAATTCCTTAATATAGGGATTCAATTTAGGAATATAATAAGGGATCTAATTTAGGAGATAATATTTTAGTTTTACTCTTTCTCTTTCTTTGTTTCTATGTATATATTTATTATAAATGTATATATATTAGGTTAGTATGCTTAATGAAAGATAGATCCGAATTTCATTCCGCGTTTTTGTCATTTTTCCTAAACAAATCCTCAATTTTAAAGGTCCATAAAGTAAAAAAAGATGATATCCTTGGTGTAGGCCCAATTTAACGGTACATAAAGCCCATACCTTTTTGGCTTTAGTTATGGATGCTCATACTGGACATTTACAGAAAGATGTAACTTGGAGTATGTTTTTCGCTAATGATATCCTTCTTGTGGATAAGACTAGAGAATGAGTTCAGGAAAAACTTGAATTATAGAGGTTTACATTGGAGTCTAAAGGCCTTCGTTTTAGCAGAACTAAAATTGAATGCATGGAATGTAATTTTAGTAATAGTAGCTTTAGTGGCAGAATTGTAACTATGGGTGATCAAATCATTAAAAGGTATGAATATTTTAGAAATTTCGGGTCTATTGTGCAGAGTGATGGTGATATAGATGGGAATGTTAATAGTAGAATTCAAGTTAGATGGTTGAAGTGGATATTAGTAGAAATCAAGTTGGTTGGTTGAAGTGGAGGAATGCTTCGGGCCTATTGTGTCATAGAAAAGTACCACTTAAACTGAAAGGAAAATTTTATAAGATGGTGGTGAAACCTACAATGCTCTATGACGCAGAATGTTTGCCTTTAAAAGAGAAGCATAAAACAAAGTTAAGTGTTGCTGAGGTGAGAATGCTTAAACAGATGAGTGGCTTGACACTTAGAGACAACATGCAAAATGAATATATCAATAATAGTCGTGTAGCTCCAGTGGAAGGGGAAGATTAGAGAGAATCGCCTCAGATGGTTTGGTCACATTAAACGTAGACCATCTAATGATTAGGTTAAGAGAGTAGATGTTTTATCTTCGACTGATATTAAGGAAGGCATAGGTAGACCTAAAAACACTTGAGCATATTGTATAAAAAATGATATGTTAATCTATTAGAATTAAATGAAAATATGACCCTCGATAGGACGCAATGGAGAAAAATGATTCATGTAGCCGACCCCACTTAGTGGGATAAGGGCTTGTTGTTATTGTTGTTGTTATTGTATAAAGTAATAGACTTTGAGTCACATAACATTAGGTTCTAGTGATGCCAAACTCAAAATAGAAATATGCATGCATGCGAGCCCAAAGATGATTTAGGTCATTCATGCATTATAAACAGAATTCAACTAAAAGGTGACATTGAATTCATGCAGACACAAAAAAGTTGGATTCACTATCATTTGCATCATTTCAGAAATCAAGAACAAAAAGCTGTTTTAACATCAAAGCATAGTTTGTCGTAAAAGGGAATAAACAATTACCCATGGCATTAATTTGACAGTTTCATCACTCCATCCTGGGTAACTCGACTCATATTTCTGTAACTTCTCTTGCAAGAACTGGATGTATTCGATGACCTGCAAATGGATGTTTATTATATCGACTGCAATAACAAATTACAAAAACTATGCAATTTAAAAAGAAAAAATGCCAATTAGCAAGAAGATATATACCTCCAGGAGAAACGATGCTTTATCCCTTTTCTGATCGCTGTTTGGCAAAAGCCCTCTGAGTATTTGAAACCTGCCACAATTGTTTAACATCCATTTAACTACAATTACTATTGCAATCTAATCATATAACAGCTTATGATTAAAGATCGGTTTATGCAGAAAGATTGTAAATAATTAATTCTTTCATAAATATATGGCAGTTCTACAGACTTGCCAAGGAATTAGCAGCAAAAAGCCACACATTATGGTCTCCTGTGTTGTTGTAGGCATGTTAAATACATGCTTCACCAGTTAAGTACTTCATTTTAACCACAACCATTGGCAAAACACTTGTAGGCCGAGAATAAAAATGTTTTTCTGAAGAATAAAATAGTCCAAGAGCATTTGATAGAGCATGCAATAGCAATGCATCAAACGAGTTTTAATCAAGTTGCTATTTATTTACGCTATTTGACAATTTATTTTATCTCAACTTTACATGTTGCATTAAATTATTTTACTATTGTATTTTTTCTTATTATTATTTAATCATAGTATTGTTTGATTATTCAGCACTTCAATTTTTTTCATTAAACTTCTAGTTACTCACATGAAAAATGAAATGCAACTTGAATAGATATTATTTTCTTCTTGGAGAACATCGGTTTTTTTTTTTTAAATTAACATCATTCTAACAAGCATGAAAACATAAATCTCAACAAGGAGAAGGTGAAACTGGGAACATCAACGCCTTCCAAGATCCAGCTCCAGCGGGAGCTACAAGCACTCTAAATGCTCTTAAAAATAGGCATACATTCCTCATATCTCTTTCCATGTGGACTTTGATGTTGCATGTTGTAATGCCTCAAAAATCAACAAATTGGGCGAAAAAAATAAGTATATAATAAGTTCAAAACATGTAATAAGAACTAACATATTAATATTCAAACATATTAAAACATTAAAAGGTAACATATTAACTTCTTAAAATGTTAAAATAAAAAAAGGAGGAAACTGGCCAGCATGGACTAATGCGAGCCAGTTCGTGTGAAACGTAGGGGATGCAAAGGCCAAGGGTCAGTTTTGTTGCTTATAAGAGGAAATAAAATGGGAGCAAAGGAGAACCACGAGAAAAATCCATTGTGAAACAGAGGATGAGGGAGAGAAGACAAACCACGAAGAGGAAGATGCGAGAAATAAATTGAGCAAGCGACCATCAAGCAAAAGGCTCGACATTGACCCCACAAACAAATCGAAGAGAAAACTAAAGCAATCAATGTGCGAGTTAGAGGGAATTGTTGCTGCTTGGGAAAATGCGAGCGAAGGGAGACAAGCAAGACGAAGACGGATGGTTACTCATGCGATGAAGATTGCGTACAGGCGGAGTAATTAGGACAGCCAAGGTATCTTCATGTGTTTGCTTTCATTAGTGGCAAGAAAGCAACAATAAGCTCGAGCAAACTAGGGAGTGAGTTAAGGCAAGCAGACGATACTTGTTTGGGCTTCCGATGCTGAACCATTCCCAATCAAGTCAAGGTAATTTTAAAGTATTATTATTTCTATTTGAATTTATAAATTCTAAATTTTTTCTTAATCAATAAAAATAGTTGAGTAATTTGGGAGGGAAGAGATAGAAATAAAAAGTAGAAGTAATTGGAAAAATCTGATAGCATCTATTGATTTAACCAAGAATAATTGCTATTTTAAAAATAAATTTAAAATTTAAATGTGTTAGAATAATTTTGAAATATCATATGCAAAATAATACTAATAATACTAATATGTCTCGGGATTCTTATTAGCAATTTTAAATATATTAATTTTTTAGTACAGATTGAAATCTATAATAACAACTTAAAGAATTGTTAACGTTGGAAGTTCTGTATTATAATGATATAGAAAGTATTAATTTAGAGATTTAATAATTAATGATAGTATATAAATATGATAAATACTTCATATAAATATTTTATATAGGTATCAACTTATAGATATCAACTCAAAAGGAGAAAGTTTTAGGAGAAAGATTAGGATTTAAATCTCCTATAATCAAGATAATTACTCATGCTATAAATTATCGTAATATTGTTGCCTTTAGATGGTTTGGTCACATTAAGCGTCGACCATCCAATGATCTGATTAGGAGAATAGATGTTCTAGATTCGACTTATATTAAGAAAGGCAGAGATGGATCTAGGAAGACTTGGACTTATTGTATAAAAAATGATCTTAATTTAGTAGAACTAAATGAAAATATGACACTAAATAAAACACAATGGAGAAAAAGGATTCATGTAGCCGACCCCACTCTAAATGCTCTTTAAAATATGCATACATTCCTCATATCTCTTTCCATGTGGACTTTGATGTTGCATGTTGTAATGCCTCAAAAATCAACAAATTGCACAAAATAAATAAGTAAAATTTAAATGAGTTAGAATAATTTTGAAATATCATATGCAAAATAATACTAATAATACTAATATGTCTCGAGATTCTTATTAGTAATTTTAAAAATATTAATTTTTTAGTACAGATAGAAATCTATAATAACAACTTAAAGAATTGTTAACGTTGGAAGTTCTGTATTATATTGATATAGAAAGTATTAATTTAGAGATTTAATGATTAATGATAGTATATAAATATGATAAATACTTCATATAAATATTTTATATAGGTATCAACTTTCGGAAGAGAGACAAGTAAGCTGACGATACTTCCATGCGAATTATAAATAACGAGGGAGTTGATGCATGCTTGAGAAAATTCGAGCGAAGAGAGACAAGTAAGAAGAAGATAGAAGGTTACTCATGCGATCAAGATTGTGTACAGGCGCACAAATTAGGACAGCCAAGGTATCTTCATGTGTTTGCTTTCATTAGTGCGCAAGAAAGCAACAATAAGCTCGAGCAAACTAGGGAGTGAGTTAAGGCAAGCAGACGATACTTGTTTGGGCTTCCGATGCTGAACCATTCCCAATCAAGTCAAGGTAATTTTAAAGTATTATTATTTCTATTTGAATTTATAAATTCTAAATTTTTGCTTAATCAGTAAAAATGGTTGAGTAATTTGGGAGGGAAGAGATAGAAATAAAAAGTAGAAGTAATTGGAAAAATCTGATAGCATCTATTGATTTAACTAAGAATAACTGATATTTTAAAAATAAATTTAAAATTTAAATGAGTTAGAATAATTTTGAAATATCATATGAAAAATAATACTAATAATACTAATATGTCTCGGGATTATTATTAGCAATTTTAAAAATATTAATTTTTTAGTACAAATTGAAATGTATAATAGCAACTTAGAGAATTGTTAACGTTGGAAGTTCTGTATTATAGTTATACAGAAAGTATTAATTGAGAGATTTAATGATTAATGATAGTATATGAATATGATAAATACTTAATATAAATATTTTATATAGATATCAACTCAAAAGGAGAAAGTTTTAGGAGAAAGATTAGGATTTAAATCTCCTATAATCAAGATAATTACTCATGCTATAAATTATCGTAATATTGTTGCATCCTTTAGATGGTTTGGTCACATTAAGCGCCGACCATCTAATGATCCGACTAGAAGAGTAGATGTTCTACATCGACTTATATTAAGAAAGGTAGAGGTAGATCTAGGAAGACTTGGACTTATTGTATAAAAAATGATCTTAATTTATTAGAACTAAATGAAAATATGACACTAAATAGGACGCAATGGAGAAAAAGAATTCATGTAGCCGACCCCAGGTAGGGGATTAAGGCTTTGTTTTTGTTGTATTGTTGCTTCTTTTAAATCTAATGCACTAATATTTGTTGTCTAATTAATTATTATTACAAATTTTTATATGATTTAACTCTATTATAAAATAGGTTGATCAAGCTGACATAAATGTCATGAATTCTCTCATTTGATTTACTTGCCTTTCATATATATTATATAAAATTAATTATAAAAATATGTAGAATAATATGTAGATTGCAAATAAAATTATTTATATAGTTTGCTTACATGTGTTTAATTGAATGATAAAATTTATCCTTATGACATTATTTGGGGACACTAAAGTACGAGTGCATATAAACTACAAATAAATAGTGATATTAATTTATTTTAATTGATACAAATTGAATGGTGCTCCTAGATGATATTAAAATTATACTATTATATTTTCATTGTTATACAAAATAATATATTAAATCTTTTTACAATGACATATTAAATGAAAAAAATAGTTAAATGATCTTACACCAACTTATTGAATTTTGATCAGCATGCATATTGTTTCTCTATTTTGTTATAATGTTATAATTTTAGAATGGGATAATTACATACATGCACCCGAAATATTGCTATTTACAAAATCTAGCACTCAGGTTATATTTTTGAACTGCTGAATCGATGTATTTATGAACGCCACAATCAAATCATTGAGAATTTGATAAAAATGAAAAGTACGGGCTAAGGTTTTCTCATGAATTTTGATATTTGAGTGAGAACTTGAACAATGGGTGAAAGAGGGTTCTAGATTTGTAAATAACAATGTTTCAGGTGCTATGTATATATTATGAGCATTCATTTAGTCTTTGATCTCACTGTGGTAAACAAACATTTTTCAGGTTTGAACTTCTGTTTAGTAAATGATTAATAGAACAAAAAATGAATACAAAAGACATGGCCAGCATATAATTATTTATTAAGCTAAGTTTAATTGCTTTCGTTAGTTCATTTATCATTTTATATAAATGAATATTAATTAATGATATAAATTAGATTTCACCATCAGACTGTTTGTTCTCATCTTGAAAATTTTAAGACCCATAATCAGGTGGTGACATAATATAGTAAAATTAATAAATTCTTTAAAGTAAGAAGTAACATGTTAATATCAAAATATTAAATAATAACATAAGAATTGATATACAAGTATCAAAACAAGATATAATTACATAGAATTTTAAAATAAGTATGGTGCAAATAATCTCTCTCCCACTTGTATTGTTCTTCATGAAAATAATTTTAGCAAGTCACCAAGATTAGATTTTTAAAATTTAAATGTCCGCATAATTCTTATCAAACAATGAGCCTTCATTGGAATCATCTGCATGACAATTTGATTTCTCTCATTTTATTCTCAATTATACATATTCGCATTCCTCCTTGTCTTAAATAACAATTATCTTTCTCTTATTTAATCAAAAAAGATACTTTTTTAGATTTTAAATAATAATTATGTTGATATTAACAACTTCAATTACATCATAAATTTTATATTATACGGGTAAGCAAGGAAATAGTGCAAACTTAAAAAATCATTGCCCACCTACAAAAAAAAAGTATTTATAGAAAATACTTAACAGATTATATTTTAAATAATTTACCCATGCAGTTAAGAGATCTTGCTATGAACAGGACCCTAATAACAAACTGTAATGATTTTTCTTCTGGGATAGCTTCTTGTGACTTAGTGAGATAACCATCTATAGAAAATACTTTAACATATTACATTTAAATGATTTACCTATGTAGTTAAGAGAACTTGCCATGAACAGAACCCTAATAACAAACTGTTATGATTTTTCTTCGGGGATAGCTTCTCGTGTGAAGAAGATGCTAGTGATGCCTAAAATTTCAAAAAAAAAAAAAAAAACACTAAATTGAATTTTTGTAATTGATTGTAATGTGAAGAATAAGTTGTATGGACCAAATTTTACATATAAGTTGACGTGAAAATAAAAAGCTTAAATATCTACGAATGGGTCCACATAACACATTATCCCCATCACTCAGCTTAAGACTTCAAAGGTCAACATCTAGCAATCATTCCCAACAAATGTGGTAAAACAACAGAGTGTAGCTAAGCATGAGGGCATAACAAATAAAGCTTCCAAGTAAAAGTAGTTCAATGGCCCTGGAACATAGCCATGAAAAGGATAATACAATGGTTCTGCAAAATATCAAATTAAATAAAAATTCAAAGAATTTGCAGATTAGCTTGGCTTGTAACCTTTTAAAACATAATTTGGATTCAAAAATCAGATTTACCAGAATCATGTGCTTTTTCATTTTAGATTGCCACTTAGTTGTATGATGCAGTTTCAAATGGTACAAAATTAGGATAAATATCTACATTCTCAATTTGATTGTACTCTATGGAGATAATTAGATATAACAAATAATCACATTAATCAAAATAAAAAGAAATAACAATGTCCAACTCTCCTAAATCTCTCAATATCACACATTATCAGTTACAAATCAACTTAGATATGAAAATTTAATTTAATTTTCATATTTTATTATATTAAATAAAAATAATTATTCACTGAACTAACTAATCGTTAACAAAAATTTTTTTAAACCCATTATTTATTATGCAATAGTCGAGCATTCATTTATTAATAATTAATTAGAGCTTTATTAAATTAATTCAATTTGAATATGTAATTTAGTTTTTGTTGAATAATTATGAAATAGGGACTCATCAAGTCTACATAATTTTGATTAGTTGATAATATATTCATCAACTATTAATTATTAAGCAATTAAATTAAATAAAATTAACTTAGATAAAAGTAAATTAAATCCTTAAGCCCATCTTCCCTTCCCCCTCTCCTTCCCGAAACCCACGCCTACTTCCTTCCCAAGGTTTCACTAGAAACTATCGCCTACCTTCCTCGTGATCGAAACCCTTGCGATACATTAGCTACTAGAGTTAGTTAGGAAGGCAACGGTGGGATTGCTGCGTACAAAAATTTCCAGCTCCTACTAGAAACCATAGAGAAAGATAACAGTTGTCTTTCTCCCCCTTCGTCCCTCACCCTATCACTTGCATCAGATCCCCTAAATCCCATAAATCCATCTTCCAATGGATTTACTAAATCCTAGATTTAAGGCAAAAAAGATCCTGTAGGATTTAATCTTGTCCTTTATGTTGTTTGGTAAGATTTACGTTAAATCCTGTTCAGATTCAGCTACCAAATAGCCATTAATGAACACAATATAACTGCGGTACGATTAAAGGCAAATCCTGATTAAATAATGATTAAACCAAGGATGATGACAGAATACTACGAGCAAAGCAACAGTCCAGTAAAACCAATCAGCACCTAGTGAATCACTTCAATCAAAAAACAATAAACGTGGAAACAGCCCTACCTGTCATTTATTTTACTTCTCCGCCGCTGCTCCGTGGCAGAATGCTTTGATCGCGGCGTACAAGCCTTCTGCTCGCCTGTTTTCCCATCACTCTTCCCTGTGAGCTCTGCGAAAATAAAAGCACTCATTAAACAAGGCAAAATTTTCAATTTTCCCAGAAGAAAACATGACTATTATGGAGAAACGAATCCTTATAGGCGCATCATAGAAGCTCAAGTACAGAACACAAAGAAGGACCTTTATGAGAGGAGCTCTCTCTCCTTCCTAACTCCTCATCATCGTCATCATCATCATCTAAACCTTTGCTGAATCTCGAAGCAGACTCCATGAATCGTTGCTTCTTATCGGGGAACTGGCTGCTCCTGCTCGAAATTTTCAAAGCTCTCAAGATCCACTGGGAGGAACAAGGGCATACAGACCCTAGATAAAAAGAAGCGACTGGAGGTAGAAGGGATGGGGGAAGAAGGAAGAAAAGCATGCTCTGAGAGCGAGAAGAAGGGAAATACCTAGACGAGGCGAGTGATCCGAAGCTCGGTGGGCTGAGAGCGGCGAATGTTGACGGCCACTGCCCTGAGGAGAACACCGCAAGCGGATGGGAGAAAAAAGTTAGGGGCGAACGTTATCATTTTCATTTCACTATTAATATGGGTTATTTACATATATGCCACAATTCTTATGAACATACAAATCTAACTCCCAAATTCTAGTTTTTACATTTCTTATCAGTTATGACTTGTAAATATCACTAATATTAATTTTTTTTTAAATTAATAATGCATATATAAAATGATTCTACCCTAAATGTCAAAGTTTAAGTGTTACACAATAGATAAGAATTGTGAGACATGTATGTAAATGATTTTTTCTAATATTTGGAGAAACATAAAGAAAAAATTTGGTCAGAGTTTTACAATGGAGGGCCCGCTTGGGGAAATTTATAAGTGTGGGCAGAGGCCGCCTCACTGTTTGAAACACACAATAGATAAGAATTGTGAGACATGTATGTAAATGATTTTTTCTAATATTTGGGAAAACATAAAGAAAAAATTTGGTCGAGTTTTACGATGTAGGACCCGCTTGGGGCAATTTATAAGTGTGGGCAGAGGCCGCCTCACTATTTGAAAACCACGTTTCGATAGCTTATCCGAAAACGCGGTTAGATTTTTATGCTAAACGCAGACCGAGGGAGGAAAACCCCGCGGACGAAAAATCCTGCGAGCTATGTTTCAGGATAAATTGTTTATCTGGATAAACACAAGCTACCCTAAACGCACCCGTAGTCTCTGAAGTTAAACATTCGATAGCTTATCCGAAAACGCGGTTAGATTTTTATGCTAAATGCAGACGAAGGGAGGAAAACCCCGCGGACGGAAAATCCTGCGAGCTACGTTTCAGGATAAATTGTTTATCTAGATAAACACAAACTGCCCTAAACGCACCCGTAGTCCCTGAAGAAACATTTTTTTTTATGATTGAATCTATTTTAAAATAAATGTAATATAAAAATAAATTAATTTATTATATTTTTCGTTCATCACAAAATAAATTTTATTATTAAAAAAAATTAAATTTTGACCAAAATTGAATCAACATATTCTAATATAAATTTTACATAATAATTATTATAAGTTTAAAATACAAAAATTTAAGAATTAATAAACAAAAACTCACATTAAAAAACATACAGCTCGAATTTATGCTCTAAAATAAATGATAATAATTCCAGCTGCAAATCTTTTCACTAAAAACAAAATGATTAATTATTTTTTTCCAAGCAAAATGCTTAAATTCCTAAAAATGATTCATATTGATTCACTAAAAATAATCTTTCTTGTCATTTTTTTTTATTTTATTTCAAGCCAATGCTTATATATATATATATATATATTAGTTAGAATATATTGTCAATTGTTTTAGAAAATTAAACGAAAAGATTAAAGGCTGATGAGCATAAATTAAAATATGATGAAAATTTTATTAAAAGTAAATAAAATTTATTTTATAATAATTTCATAATCATTTGATATATGTTTAGACTTGAATAGGAAACTATATTAAGACTTATATTTTAATAGAATTCATGGAAATAAATGTGCATGTTGTCAATTAGATGTGAACCCATTTTAATGAAAAAAAAAAATAATATTTGTAACTTAGATTTATATTTCCACTTTGGGGTTTCCCTTTTTTATATAAGATTTGACAATAATTAGGTAAAAAGTGCATAAAGATGAGAGGCATTAAAGGATGGGCAGCTCCAGTGCCAAGCGTTGTACGGCACTTCTGAGGGGAAATCTATGATCTATCCATGTCAAATAGCTTTATATCGAATGGGTGCTTAAGAGTAGGAAGTTCTCTTGGAACTCATCCCCACCCTTGAAGCGCATCATTTCAAACGGTCTTTAAAACTCAACCCTTCGATCTCGACCCCTGAAACTTTAACTTTTGATAGTCGATTGAATTTACATATATGCCACTCAAAATTTTATGTTTAAGTGTATACCACTAAAATATTTAATATGATATCAAAAATATCATTATTATTAAATATTATGCACCTTATCATGAATTTACATATATGCCACTCAAAATTTTATGTTTAAATGTATACCACTAAAATATTTAATATGATATCAAACATATCATTATTGTTAAAAATTATGCACCTTATCACATGAGTTCAAGAGACTAAAATGTTATAAATGCAAATATCAAACTTTAAGCACTAGTGTTGAATCCAAATTTGTCATTCAGACCGTTCCCAAGGAATGGAGTTGATTCCTTTAACAGGGGGAGAAACGGAGGAGGTTGTCCTGAGGAGGGAGGGGACCGAGCTCAGCGGCTTCTATTATTTCACCCCAGAGATGATA